CTTTCTTGCTGTCATATCCTGGAATTTGGCACATTGGTGGTTTTCCACCTTTGGTCTGCGTTATTGTAGACTTGGACCACATGTCCTTTCTGTTTTTTAGACTCCAAAGTCTTAATCCTTTCAGTCTGTCCAAGTACCTCCTACTTCTGAGTGCCATGCTAGGTGCCAGAATACAAAAATAAAAATATAAATAAATAAATAAATAAATAAAACAGACGGGTTCGTTCCTTGGGGAGACTGACGTGTAACCAGATCATTAGAATATGGAAAGATACTCACGGTGGCCTGTAACCGGATCATGAGAATATGGAAAGATATTGTGGCTTGAGCGTTTCAAAAGTCCAAGGCAGAAAGGAGAAGGGGAAAAGTTTATTTTTTCTTGGAATCAGTGATCAGTGTCACCTGTTCATTCTGGTCTTGTGCTAGGCACTTGGGGAGTCCAGCAAGACTTGACTTGCCCTCAAACAGACTCTCACAGTTAAGGGTTATCTGAGCCCTAGGGAAGCCCTGGCCTAGAGGTTTCAAGGAAATGATGGCATTTGAGCTGCATCTTGAAGGAATAGCAGATTTCATCAAGCACTCCCAGGAAGTGAGGGCAAAACAGTCATGCTTGGCAGAGGAAACCGCCTGTGTAGAGGCATGGCTTGATGTGCTTGGCAGGCAGTGAGAAGGCCGGGTTTTCCGGGGCAGAGGGAAAAACCCAGGCTGGTCTGGATAGCGCATAAGGGAGCTGGCAGAACACAGAAAACATGGGGGCCAAGCACAGGGGTGAGAAGCAAGCTGTGGGGGAGGCCTGGGCCTCAGCTTGGGTGGGAGATGGGCTCAGGCCTGGAGCCAGAGGCCAGGCCCTGACAGCCTCTCTGGGGACAGTTCCGTCGGACAGCACTGCACCGATCCTCCCTGGAAGGCCATGTGGAAATCCTGGAGAAGCTTCTAACTAGTGGAGCCACTGTGGACTTCCAGGATCGGGTGAGTGAGAGGGCAGGTATTCAGTGGGAGACAGGAGGTGTGTCCAGCACTGACAGACACAAACCCTCTCCCTCACACCTGTGCCATCCTGAAGCATAAACAGGTTGCTTAGGGGCCAGACTCCACCTCGGTGGCTTATGTGACTTTGAGTTAGCCCCTTCTCCTCCCTAAGCATCCTCTGTGAGTCTGGCTTGGACCAGATGGGCCCTGAGTGTTCTTCTGTTCCACTTGGCCCATTGCCCATGCCCAGGCCTGCTCCCTGTACCTTTCTCCTAGATACCCCTCTGCCCTTCTGGCTGGAGTCCATTCCCCCCAGATGCTTTCTTCCCTGCAGCTCTGTAGTTAGACCCCATCATTTCCTTCTAGCTGGACTGCACAGCCATGCATTGGGCCTGCCGCGGGGGCCACTTAGAGGTGGTGAAACTTCTGCAAAGCCGAGGAGCAGACACCAATGTGAGGGACAAGGTGAGGCAACAATGCTCAGACGCAACAGATACTGGGGTGGCTGTGGGGAGGAAGGCAGGGGTCCGAGGGCAGGAAAGCCCAGGGGGCAGGAAGGTAGTGAGCTAGTCTGGTTTCTGGCTGCAGAGCAGGAAAGCTAAAACAGTGTCCTACTGGGCCTCCCAGCCCACGAATTGGTCCCTGCCATCCACACAGGCCCTTGAGGAACCACCATCTGAGGACAGGAGCAGGAAGAGCAGACAAGAAGGGAGAACAAGAGACTCACTGTCTTGGGGGCTTTAGGACCACTCAAAAGATGCATGATTTGTTCATGTTCTCTGCCATTATCCTTCTATCTACCTATCTATTCATCCATCCGTCTATTCATCCATCCATTCCTCCATTTATTTATCCCCTCATTCATTCATTTATTTATGCACCATCCTTCTATTCATTCATTCTTTCATGTAGAACCTTGAGCAAGTGACAGCCTCTGAGCTTCTGTTCCTCATCTGTAAAATGTCTTGCAGAGTTCTTGTGTAGATTAGGTGGGAAAACATATGTAAATGAATTATTTGTTCAACATAAGGCAAATGTCTTGTAAGCTTTTGCCAGGTCCATTACATAGTCATCTCTCAATAAATGACATCTATTATGATTATTAAAAGAAGGGTAGGGCCAGGCGTGGTGGCTCACGCCTGCAATCCCAGCACTTTGGGAGGCCAAGGCGGGCAGATCACGAGGTCAGGAGATCGAGACCATCCTGGCTAACACAGTAAAATCCCATCTCTACTAAAAATACAAAAAAAAAAAAAAAAAAACTAGCCAGGCGTGATGGTGGGCACCTATAGTCCCAGCTACTTGGGAGGCCAAGGCAGGAGAATGGTGTGAACCCGGGAGGCGGAGCTTGCAATGAGCCAAGATGGTGCCACTGCACTCCAGCCTGGGCAATAGAGCAAGACTCCATCTAAAAAAAAAAAAAAAAAAAAGGAGGGTAGAAGAGTTAGCAGCTGGGTGAGAGGAGAATCATAGAAGGCTTCCTAGAGGAAGTGGCATTTAAGTCTTTAGAGTTAGGCCATTGGATAGGATGGTAGGAAATTGTACCATTCTCTGCCCCTTCAGGGCTCAGGCCTTGGCACTAGGACTTGGAAGAGGGATTAAGCTGGAGTTAGGACAGCCCCCCTCCCCAGGGGTACCATAGTTCAGACCCTGTCAACCAGCAGTTCCTGATTCTTCCCACCCAGCTGCTGAGCACCCCGCTGCATGTGGCAGTCCGGACAGGGCACGTGGAGATCGTGGAGCACTTTCTATCCCTGGGCCTGGACATCAATGCCAGAGACAGAGTGAGTGCTAGCCTGTCCGCTGCTCACCCCGCCATGAGTGCGTGGGCAGCCTGCGGGCCCCTACAGGTGGTGTCCTTCCTCCTGGGGCCTTCAGGACTTGGCCCTGAACAGGGTCTCTAGCTCACCTCCCATCACCCTTGCCCCTCTCACTGCCCACAAGGGCCATGCTGAGTGCCACTCTGACTCTAGGAAGGGGATACTGCCCTGCATGATGCTGTGAGGCTCAACCGCTACAAAATCATCAAACTGCTGCTCCTGCATGGGGCTGACATGATGACCAAGAACCTGGTAAGCTCATTGCCCGCTGATTCAGCCATTGGCGTGAGCACTCACACAGTGCAGGGGCCGTCCAGGCTGCTGGGGCAGCCCCCGCCTCGGGACATGTATCACTGGCTCTAGTCAGCACCATAGTACATAAAGCTATCTCCTTCCAGAGCACCATTCCAACTGCCCGCCCCATTCTCTGTGTGTGTCTGTGGCCAGAGTGCAAGTGCAGAGAGACAGCAGGAGGGGCAGCAAGAGGACTTCCCAAAGACCCCCAGTTAGGCCAGAGGGGGTCCTCACGTACAGGCCCAAGGAGGCCAGAATCATGAAGGGCCAGAGCTGGAAGGGACTGAGCACTTGGCTGGCATGACAGTTCCTAGCACTCCATGTCAGCTCCTGTGGTCTTTGAGTTTTCTTAGGATCTAGGCAGGAAGTCCTTGGAAGAGGAAGGTGCCCAGGGAACACCTTGGACTAGGGAACACTTAGTCCAAGTTCTTCTTTGGGGCCCAGAGCATTCACAAAAGGAGGGCATGGGAGAGTCCCTCGGGCTCAAGAAAGGCTAAGGGGATAATGAGAAAAGCAGGAAAATCTGGAGAAGGTATAAATGAGGGTTTTTCACCCTCAGCATGATTGACATGTCAGGCTGGGTGATTGTCGTAGGGGACTGTCCTATGTGTTGTAAGATGTTTAAGCAGCATTCTTGGCCTCTGTCCACTAGATGCCAGTAGTACCCTGTCCCCTAGTGTGACAACCAAAAGTATCTTCACACGTAGCCAGTTGCCCCCATTTGAGAAGCACTGGTGGTGTCGATGAGGGTACCTTCTGTGAAAGCCTTCAGGAGAGTGAACAGATTTTCTCTTGCCCCCGCCCCGCCCCTCCCCGCCACCCCAGGCAGGAAAGACCCCCACGGACCTGGTGCAGCTGTGGCAGACTGATACCCGGCACGCCCTGGAGCATCCTGAGCCGGGGGCTGAGCATAACGGACTGGAAGGGCCTGATGAGAGTGGGCGGGAGACCCCTCAGCCCGTGCCAGCCCAGTGAATTTGTGCCCCAGCACAGCCAGCTACCCAGCCCCTCTCTGTGTGCAGCCAGAGGGTCCTAAGAGTGACTCTCAGAGCTAACTGAGGGCCCAGCCTTTTTTCTGCATGATACAGGAGTACCCACAAACCACCACAATAAAAAAGCTGTTTTTGCTAATTGCGATGTTCATTTCCATTTGTGTCTGAAATCTCTGGGAATGAAGGAAGACTGGGGGCAAATGTCGGCTTGGGGAGGAGGAAAACTGGGAGCTGGTTGGCCCTCTGAGCCAGCCCCGCAGCTGCTTTACTGTGGTCTCTTTTCCTTTCTTCCCTGCCACGCAACATTTCCTGCCCCTTCCCACGTCTCTAGGGCCAGGCTTGGCCCTTGCACGGATTGACAGTAAAACACTCATCCTGGGCCCCCTTCCTGGTGACTGCTGTCCTGTGGGGCTGTCTGTGGCTAGCACAGGCTTGTCACGTGGCTGCCTTGGCAGGAGGAGCCTGGCAAGGGAGCAGGGCAGGGGAGGGACAGCCCGCTATAGGCAGCTTCTTGCCCAGCCTTGCCACGCCTCCCACAGGGCAGGGCCTGCTCAGCCAATCAGCTCCACCAACCTCACAACTGCCTGTGGAAACCTGGCTAGGCTTCTGGCTTTGGGGCTGGGAATTGTGGGAGGAGGGCCCAGATCCCACTGGAGATACCGTTTAGTATTGGGATCCCAGAAACCAGTCCTACATCTGGCCAGAGGGACACTGGGTTGTGGCATTTCTCCAGCTGCTACCCAGAAGGAAGAGGACCCCCTGGGGCCTATAGGCCTTGCTCCTGACCCTGGGGACACCCAGCTCAGGCCTGCCCCAGTGGCCACAAGTCAGGGAGGCCGCAAATTTTTAACTAGACACATTGATCATTAATAGGGGGTTAGAAAGAGTTCAAACTAAGTCTCACTCTGGGACATAGACCAATTGTGCCTCAGGCCTCCTGCAGAGATGCTGGGTCCCCAAGTCTGGTCCTCTGTGAGGCAGGGACTAAGCAGGAGCTTGTTCAGGAATGTGAGGGGCTGGGCCTCAGGGGAGGGGAAGAAGGTGGACATTGCGGGCATCTACCCCCCTGTGACCACCCCTTTCACTGCCACTGCAGAGGTGGACTATGGGAAACTGGAGGAGAATCTACACAAACTGGGCACCTTCCCCTTCCGAGGTAAGCGGGGCTGTCCTCTGTGGGAGTTGGGGAGATGTCAGTGGTCCTATTCTCTTTAACCAGAGACCAAGGGAGGATACACAGGCTCTGTCAAGCTGTCCAGGGATAGTCTGGTACTCAGTGGGTCATTTTATTACTGGAGAGGAACAGGGGAGACTGGTCTGGAGTCAGGAGACAGGCAGGAAGCTCCTTGCTGGCCTGTAAACTTAAGCTAAACCTCACCTGCTTCAGTTTACCCAGCTGTAAACTGTTAAAGTGCCTTTGTAGCTCCCAGAGTGATTCTGGGGTTGGACTGGCAAATGGGTGTGAAAGTCCTTGTCAACCTTGTCACTCAGTGCAGATGTGAGGGCATGTGGCTGGGGTCACATGGCAGCCCAGCCACAGTCCCAGTTCCCTCCAAAGTTTGTTTGAACATTCTCTTCTGGACAAAGCCTCCTTGCCAGAATTAGTTCTCCCTGTTGTGGCACTTTGATCCCATCTCTCTTTACACATGGGTCTTCCCCACTCTGAGGTTAGGGACCAGATGATATTTGCGACACTCAACATGTAACAGAGTCCCAGGCACAAAAAATGAAGGTAGAAGAAAATGGCAAATCCTGCTTGCCCTGCTCTGCCCATCCCCATTCCTTACCGCACAATCCTCTGAGGTAGTGCTCTCTATAGGACCATCCCACAGATGGGAGTCCGGGCCTCAGAGTAACATGGTCACTGCCCAAGGTCATTTGGCGAACACATAGCTGAGCTGAGATTTGCAGCTCGTCTGACTGCATGGCCCATGCTCCGTTTTACTCCCTCACTGACTCTCATTATAAACCCTTTGGAGCTGCTAGGCCACACTATTTCAACAGAGTGTCTGGTCAGCTTTGGGAATGGTGTGGCTCCTATTGAGGCAGTATCATGTAGACCGTGGACTCTGGTTTCAAATTACAGCTCTGGGTGAGTGTCTGTAATCCCAACACTATGGGAGGCAGAGGTGGGCGGATCACGAGGTCAGGAGTTTGAGACCAGCCTGGCCAATATAGTGAAACCCCGTCTCTACTAAAAATACAAAAATTAGCTGGGCATGGTGGTGGGCGCCTGTAATCCCAGGTACTTGGGAGGCTGAGGCAGGAGAATCACTTGAACCCGGGAGGCAGAGGTTGCAGTGAGCCAAGATCACATCATTGCACTCCAGCCTGGGTGACAGAGCGAGACTCCATCTAAAAAAAAAAAAAAGAAAATCACAGCTGTGGCACTGACTTAGTGTGGGATGATTGCTGTCCCTATCAGACACATGGGAGTGATAATGTTCATATTATGGGATGGTTGAACAAAAAAATCTGAGAGAATGCAACTGAAAGCATGCTATAAATTGTAGAGTAATATGCATTGGAAGGTACTGACTCCAACGGTAATAACGATTAAAATGACAGTGTGATTGGCATTGTGGCAAAGCTGCTTTGTGACTGTGACCCTTGGCATGATGGACACGTTGATCATTCATAGCTCAGTACTGAGGGAATGTGCCCCTTCCTTGGGGACAATGAATGCCCTGTGGAGGCCCACGTTGAGCAGGGACACAACTCTAACTTTCTGCTGGTGCTTGGCTTGTGGGACCTAAAGGTTTGGTGAAGTCCTGGTTCTCTTGAAGTAAGAAGCATTTTGAGCCTCTAAGTGGAAGACCTTACTTCAGCTTCAAGGTTCAAGGATGCTCTAGTTCAGGGTGGGGAGGGTGGACTTTGCATCTGGTGCTTGCCTGCCACCCAGAGAATCCACAGAGACCCCCAGACTCTTCTCTGGATCCTCCCTTCTGTGCTACCCACCCACTCCTGCAGAGGGCGTGGGGTGCCCAGGAGCACAGGCTTCTGTGGAATTGGCAGGCCGTGGGCCGCACATACCCACTTGTCTGTCTCCCTTGCAACCTATGCTGGCTCCAGCTCCCGTCTGATCACTCACTCACACACCAGAGAGCCAGCGGGGTGTGGCAGGAAGAGCCTAGCATCTGGAGTCAGAGGACCTGGGCAAGAATCCTGCCACTTCTGCCAGTTAACAGAGACCTTGGGGAAACCACTTAACCTTTCAAATCCAGTTTCCTCATTTTAGAATAGGAACTGAGCCTTCAGTCTCTTAGCCACAGGGTCAATATAATCCTCCCAAGGCACTGTCACAGAGAACACTGTCAGAGATAGAGGGTCCCTTCCCTGCTTCTGGGGCACAGCCAAAATGCCCAGGAAGGAAGACACAGACAACTTTCGCTCTGACATCTGTATTTCTCTTGCCCTGTCCTGGCCCCTGAGGTAGACTTTGCAGCCCAACACTCAGGCCGAGGAGGGAATATGTGACATTGTAAGGGCCTCCTGTAGCCGTTAAAGGTCCTCTAAAGAGGAGACGGGGTCCAGGCTCAGTGGCTCACTCCTGTAAGCCCAGCACTTTGGGAGGCCAAGGCAGGAGGATCTCCTGAGACCAGGAGTTGGAGACCAGCCTGGCCAACATAGTGAGACCCTGTCTCTATTAAAATAAATAAATAGGAGGTGGGAAGCTGCCCTGGATGAATCAGTGAAGAGTTAGAGATTCTTCTGGAAAGCACTCCCTGAAACTCTGTAGCTCTCGTTTTTTTTTTGAGACAGAGTCTCGCTCTGTTGTTCAGGCTAGAGTGCAGTGGCACAGTTCGGCTCACCGCAACTTCCACCTCCCAGGTTCAAGCGATTCTCCTGCCTCAGCCTCCTGAGTAGCTGGGATTACAGGTGCCTGCCACCACGCCTGGTTAATTTTTGTATTTTTAGTAGAGATGGGGTTTCACCAGGTTGGCCAGCCTGGTCTCGAACTCCTGACCTCACGATCTGCCAGCCTCAGCCTCCCAAAGTGCTGGGATTACAGGCGTGAGCCACCGTGCTGGGCCTCTTATTTACTTATTTATTTATTTTTAAGATGGGGTCTCACTCTGTCACCCAGGCTGGAATGCAGTGGCACGATCTCGGCTCACTGCAACCTCTGCCTCCTGGCACTAAAGCAATCTGCCCACCTCAACCTCCCAAGTAGCTGGGACCAAAGGTGCACGCCACCATGCCCGGCTAATTTTTTGTATTTTTAGTAGAGATGGGATTTTGACGTGTTGCCCAGGCTGGTCTCAAATTCCTGAGCTCAAGTGATCTGCCTGCCTCTGCCTCCCCAAGTGCTGGGATTACAGGCGTGAGCCACCATGCCCGGCCCTGTGTAGCTCTTTTTAAAAAATCTTTTTAGCATCGCTAATTCGTACTGATATTTGAATAAAGAGTATTCTTTTTTTCTTCTTCTTTTTTTGTGACGGAGTCTTGCTCTGTCTCCCAGGCTGGAGTGCAGTGGCATGATCTCGGCTCACTGCAAGCTCTGCCTTCCAGGTTCATGCCATTTTCCTGCCTCAGCCTCCTGAGTAGCTGGGACTACAGGCTCCTGCCACCACACCCGGCTAATTTTTTATTTTATTTTATTTTTTGTTTTTAGTAGAGACGGGGTTTCACCATGTTAGCCAGGATGGTCTCGATCTCCTGACCTTGTAGTCGTCTGCTTCGGCCTCCCAAAGTGCTGGGATTATAGGCATGACCCACCGCACCGGCCAAGAGTATTCTTTTTAAATAAAAGTTATGACCGTAGTCTAGAGGAGGGGGTCATTACAGAAGGGCTCTATGGCCCTGAACTCACACCCATAAACACCCTCAAAGATGGACTTTGAATTGTTATTTCCAAATGAGGTTAGTGGCCAACCACAGGACTAGTGCAGCAGGACTGGGAAGATGAGGTTCTCCATAAAATGCTTGTGTCCTATTCCTTCCATATGTAGAGTGGACCATGCTTTCTTGCAATGATATAATATTTTGTATATATTAAAACCACTACTCTGTTAAAGAAAATATTTTGCCTAAAGCATCACAATTTTTACAACCCCATTTTGGCATTTCTTATTTTTTTTAAAGAGCTAGATGCTTTCGAGGGAAAAAAAAAAAAATACAGTGGCCCAGGCGTGTGTATACCCTGAGAGACCTTGGAGATTAATCAGGCTTTTCATTGTCTGCATCTATGGAAAGCCTTGCCAGCAAGCCCACCTGCTCACGACCCGAACCATGCCTATTTATGGGGGGACAAATTCCGGGTTTGTAGGTGCATCACTAAGGCAAGAGGTAGCAGCCACCATCCGGAATCTAGACCCAATGAAGTCTCCTGTCCTGTCCACTCTGCCTTCTCAGCCCACTGCTTGCCTCCCCGCCCTCAGCCCATTGTGACCTCATGTTAGTTATTCCAGAATGAGCTTCTTCCTGGGTTCTTTTCCCTCTGAACTCTGCCCTATAGTGGGGTGAGGGGCTCAAATGAGGATGGAATATGCCAGGCTGGCAGCAGACATGGGCCCTGGATGGAGGGTTCTCTGGTCTCAGATGGCTAGGAATGGATATCAGCCCAGTCAAGGGGGTCCTTCTGCCATGGCCAGCCTGACCCAGCATCCTTTGCCCCCAGGGGCCACCAGATCAGGAGAGAGAGAAACCAAAGACTGGAAGATACAAAGGCCTAAGTTGTAGAATGGGTTCCAAGCAGAAGGCAGAAGGACTCAGAATCAGAGAAGCGGCCCTTTCACTGAGCCTGGGGACAGCTGTCAGGGTAGGAGACAAGACCTAGGCCTCAGGCAATGCATGCCAGGCTAGACATGAGGGATGCTGCAGCCTCTCCCCACCCCACTCTCCCCACCCCACCCCCAACTGCCTTCCTCACAATGGGGTTCATTGTTGAGGTGGTAGGGGGCACCTAGGGAGGGTGCAGCAGGGGGCCTGCCTGCCAGACATCCTTGGGGAGCCTGCCCTTTCAAGCATGAACCATACCACCAGAGATCACCCAGGGTGCTCTTAGCTCTGCCTGCCTGGTGTAGGGTCCTGGAGACCTTCTTGGAGCTCATCCAGCAGCCATCATGCAAGGTGGTGCTGGGGACTGCCCTCTTGCTGGGAGGTGGAGGTCTCATGCTGTGGGTTCAGAAAAAGAGGAGAAGAAAGGCAACCTCT